CTGTGAGATGGAAGTTGCAGTGAACCAAGTTGGCACCACTGCACTCCAGCCTGGGTAACAGAGTGAGACTCTATCTAAAAAAATAAATAAATAAAATAAAAATTTTTTTCTTATGGAGGTGAGAGGACTTAGAACAGTGGTTTTCAGAAGTTAATGTACATATGAGTTACCTATCTCAAATCTGCTTCCTCTCTCCATCTTAACAGCTACCATTCTGGTCCAAGTCCAAGCCCCCTACAGGCCTTATCTCTCACTGGGACAACTGAGCTGGCCTTCAGATGCTCAACCCTGTGGTTTAGGCTTGGTGGCGAAGGGGCCAGAAGAGGCCGGTACAGGGGGGTCCAAATCCAGGCATACTCCTGGGGAGGACTTGGTGATGCCTGGGGTTGGGATTGCAGAGAAGGCTGTTATAGGTGTGGCTCTGGATAGAATAGCGAGAGTCATAATGAAGGCCACTGAGGACGGCAAGGAAGGGTCCTGGAAGACATTCACATGGATGAGCAGGACATTAGGACAGAAACTTCAGTCCTGGATAAATGAAGGGAGGTGACAGGGCAGACGGAAGATGCAGTGAAGATGAAGGTGATGGGGACGCACAGCAGAGTAGAGCCAGGTAGCAGAAGTCTCAGAGGAGAAAGAAAAAAAATCACATAGGCACACAGAAAAACACAAAACAAAACATAAAGCCGGGCGCACAGCCTAAAATCCCAGTACTTTGAGAGGCTGAGGTGGGAGGATTGCTTGAGGCCAGGAGTTCGAGATCAGCCTGGGCAATATAGTAAGAGCTTGTCTCTACAAAAAATTTTTTAAAACAGCCAGGCATGGTGGCATGTGCCTGTGGTCCCAGCTACTTGGGAGGCTGAAGTGGGAGGACCGCTTGAGCCTGGGAGGTGGAGGTTGCAGTGAGCTAACATTGAACCACTGAACTCCAGCCTGGGTGAAAGAGAGAGACCCTGTCTCAAAAAAAAGGGGGTGCGGTGACTCAAGTCTTTAATCCCAGCATATTGGGAGGCTGAGATGGGCAGATCACCTGAAGTCAGGAGTTCGAGACCAGCCTGGCCAACATGGCAAAACCCTATCTCTACTAAAAAATACAAAAATTGGGCCAGGTGTGGTGGCTTATGCCTATAATCCCCGCACTTTGGGAGGCCAAGGCAGGCGGATCACAAAGTCAGGAGATCAAGACCATCCTGGCTAACATGGTGAAACCCTGGCTCTACTAAAAATACAAAAAATTAGCTAAGCATGATGGCGCCCATCTGTAGTCCCAGCTACTTGGGAGGCTGACGCAGGAGAATCACTTGGACCTGGGAGAGAGGTTAGAGTGAGCCGAGATCACACCTGCACTCCAGCCTGGGTGATAGAGCAAGACTCCATCTCGAAGAAAGAAAATGGAAGGTAAGGGAAAAGAGGGGAGGTGACGTGGGGACCGGGAGGGGATGGGGGAGGGGAACCCACCTCCCCAGCTGAGCAGCCCCATGGGAGCCCATGCCTGGGGAGACCCAGCTCCCAGCTAAATGCACTGGGCCACACCTGGTTGTTAAATGTTCCAGGAAGGTAACTGCTACTTGTATTTCTCTGGCTAGGTTCCAATGCCCTTTTATATCTCACAAGTCATTTATGGCTCAAAAAATCTGGGAAGGTTAGAAAGAAAAGCATCATCCCCATTTGACAGATAGGGAAACTGAGGCCCAGGAAATGGCAGTGAGCTGCCAGGATATCACAGTGAGTTGACAGAGGATAAGGAATTAGAGTTCAGGCCTGGAGTTGTTTCCAGAATCTCAGGCCAGTGTGCACACAGCTGGGACAGGGGTCAAGGCTTGCCAGGTAGCTGGCACTGATGGACTTTGGCCACATGGCAATAAGGAAAAGAAGTGGCAACAACTTCACACCGCTGAGGTTGACTAATATCTGGGAAATTATGGTCTGGAGAGAAGCAGGTGGAAAGTTTTCCCTCCGCAGAGGTCCCATAGGGCAGGAACACTCCTGAGGGCTGTGGCTTTCCCCACCTCTGACACACACACACTCAGAAGTCAGGAGCAGCCTCACAGCCAGAAAGGTTCAGGTTCAAGTCTCAGTTTTGCCACTGATATATGTTGTGGGGTTTTTAAAAAGTCCTTGGGTCGGGCGTGGTGGCTCACGCCTGTAATTCTAGCACTTTGGGAGGCCAATATGGGTGGATTATGAGGTCAGGAATTCAAGACCAGCCTGGCCAAGATGGTGAAACCCCGTCTCTATAAAAATACAAAAATTAGCCGGGCATGATGGCAGGTGCCTGTAATCCCAGCTACTTGGGAGGCTGAGGCAGGAGAATTGCTTGAATCCAGGAGGTGGAGATTGCAGTGAGCTGAGATGGCACCATTGCACTCCAGCCTGGGCAACAGAGCCAGACTGATAGAGAAGCCACATCCATGCACACACACGAGGTTTGACATCGGCTTTGCAGTGACCAACCTGCACTCTCCGGGGCAACCCCTGGGAGGTGGGCTTTGGCATCACAAGCTGTTGGTGGAATGAGGGCAAGGCAGTGGTGGTGAAGCAGCCCTTCCTTTTTTTTTTTCTATTTTTTTTTCTTTTTGAAATGGATTATCTCTTTGTCACCCAGAATGGAGTGCAGTGGCATGATCTCAGTTCACTGCAGCCTCCACCTCCCAGGTTCAAGTGATTCTCTTGCCTCAGCCTCCCAAGTAGCTAGGACTACAGGCGCTTGCCACTACGCCCGGCTAATTTTTTGTATTTTTAGTAGAGATGGGATTTTACGGTGTTAGCCAGGATGGTCTCAAACTCCTGACCTCAAGTGATACTCCCACCTCGGCCTCCCAAAGTGCTGGGATCACAGGCATGAGCCATCGTGCCCAGACTTTTTTTTTTTTTTTTTGAGACAGAGTCTCGATTTGTTGTCCAGGCTAGAATGCAGTGGCACGATCTCAGCTTACTGCAACCCCAGCCTTCTGGGTTCAGGGGATTCTCTTGCCTCAGCCTCCCAAGTAGCTGGGATTACAGGTGCCTGCCACCACGCCCAGCTAATTTTTGTATTTTTAGTAGAGACGGGGTTTTGCCATGTTGGCCAGGGTGGTCTCCAACTCCTGGCCTCAAGTGATTCACCCACCTTGGCCTCCCAAAATGCTGCAATGACAGGCATGAGCCACTGCGCCCGGCCGGCCCTTCCTTCCCTTTTAACAAAACCAAGGCATCATAAGACTCCAACTCCAACCATACAGACATACGTAAAACAAAAAGCAAAATCCTTCCCCTCGCTCCCGGCACCACTCTTGGTTATTTTGGTGCCATTGTTGCTACTAGGAACAATTTGTTCACAAACACCATTAAATGCATGCATATCTTTGTACTCTGGTGGGTAGGACAAAGACCTACAAATGGAATTTCTGGGCCACAGTTACAAGTGTCTGATCATTTATAATACGAATGCGTACTACCCAATTGCCCTACTAAAAGATTATCCAAGGACATCAACATTCCAGTGCCAGCCTGATGTCATCATCAACTGCCCCCATCTTCCCTTCCACTTGGCAAATCTGTCTCCCTACCCAGAATCTCCTGCACATTATCCCCCTTCAGACAGCAGATGACAGGGAAGCACCTCTGCTGGGGGGTTACCAGATGGGATGCCCCAGGGGGCTTCCTAGGAGAAATGGCTCCACTGCCTCCCGTTGTGTTACTGTGTTCTCCAGACTCCAGAGGCTCCACATCTGACCCAACTGCCCAATACGCACAGCAAAGCAGGAGTCAGTACAGGTGTGCAGAAAGACACACAGTCAGTGGACAGCCCCCAGGCCAGGCTCCAATCAAGCACCCAAAGACATTAGGCCAACCCCTGCCCTCTGGACCAGTGCCCAGTGGGGTAAGTGGGGCAAGCTGTGAACAGATGTCGCCCAGATCCCACTCTAAGGACCTGGAGAGCCCAGGGACGCGTCCACAGTGTGGCCACTCTACAGAACTTGGACACAGAGACCCACAGATTCCAGGCTCCTGCCTACTCTACCACTTCCAGCTGGTGGTCTGGAGTGAGTGGTCTCTGAACCCAAAGGTGCAGGAATAGTACCTCCCCGTAGGGATGCTGAGACTAACAAGGGACCTCACTGGGGTCCATCCTGGCACATTAAAGGACTCAGTAACCCATAGCCAGTACTAATAAAGCACCTACGTGCTCCTGCAAGTTTGGAAACTTCTGGAGAGTTTCCAAAGCATGTTATTGTTTTTGTTTTGTTGTTTTGAGATGGAGTGGTGCGATCTCAGCCCACTGCAACCTTTGCCTCCTGGGTTCAAGCGATTCTCCTGCCTCAGCCTCCCCATTAGCTGGGATTACAGGCGGACGTCACCACATCCAGCTAATTTTTGTATTTTTAGTAGAGAAGGAGTTTTACCACGTTGACCAGGAAGGTCTTGAACTCCTGACCTCAGGTGATCCGCCTGCCTAGGCCTTCCAAAGTGCTGGGATTACAGGCATAAACCAACGTGCACGGCCGAAAGCACTTTCTTACCTCATTTTTGTATCCTATTTTGGCTCACCACGACCTTAGGGGACAGGAATTATTATTCCTGATTTTCCAAAAAGGAAACTGAGGCCCTCCCGACCAAGAACGAGATGTAAAGCGCCTTTTTCGGCGTGGAAGACAAGACCCGCAGGCGGTAAAGGTAAGCGCAGAGAGGGAAAACATTGCCTGAGGTCACACAGCAGGCAGGCTCAGACCCCAGTCCCCAGCAGCTCTTTCACCGCCCCCGCCGCCCCGCTCCGTCCTAGCCCTGTCCCCGAGGGCTTTCCGCCCAGGCGCCCCCCAGGTCACGGGAACCACAGCTCCCGTGCAGCCCCCAGCTCGCCCGCGGGCCCGGGCGGGGCGGCTCCTCGGAGCCTCAGTTTCCCTTTGTAGAGCGGGCCGATCGCCGCGGGTGGGCCGAGAGGGCGGGCGGCTCGGCGCCGGGCGGGCCGGGCGGGGCGGCGCCTGACTCAGCGGGCGGGCCGCGGGCTGCTCAGCCGGTCGGACCGGCCGGGAGGCGCACGAGCCGCGGGGGCGCTGCGGGGCCGGGCGGCCCGGGGGGTGACGGGAAGGGAGGCCGGCTCGGCGCCGCCCAGGCCCGGGCTCCGGGCGGGAAGTGGGCGAGCGCGGCGGTGCGGGGCGCGCGGGCGACAGGCCAGCGGGATGGGAGCGGGGTCCTCGGGCGGCCCAGAGCCTCGGGAGCCGCGCTGAAGCCGGCGGCCGGACCCGCGTGGAGCCATGTGTCTGCGCCTCGGTGAGCGGTTAGGGGCGCGCGGGAGGCCCCGAACCACTCCAACCCTCCCGCGGGGGCGGAGCACGGAGCCGGGAGCCCGAGCCCCTGGGGTCCAGGCCGCACGCTCTGCCTCTAACTTACTGAGCGGCCTGGGGCTGGTCACTTTCCTTCCTGGGCCTCAGTTTCCCCCGCAGTTAGATGGAGGGAGGAGCGCTGCGGGTGTCTTCTCGTGTGGCTGTAGCGTCTCTTCCCTTAGCCCTCTCTTTCCTTTCCTGCGGAGGCGAACGACTGCCTTCGGGGACCCCCGGGTGGGCGGCAGAGGAGATGCTGGAGACAGCAGCCCCCACCTCACTCAGAAGGGACCCCGGGACCAGCCCTCAGCTTCCCCAGCCTTGCCAGGCGCTCCCACTTGCATACCCCCCCCCCTTTCCCACAGCCAGGAGGGAAGGGCTGTGGGCAAACAGGATCAGCAGCGGGGGAGCGGGACTAATGTGCCCCCTCCCTCCACTGCCTGGGCACAGTGATGCTGCTTGTGGGCAGCAGAAAGCCCCGGGGGGTGGGGTTCCTACTGTCTGGCCAAAAGACCTTGTGAGCCTCAGTTTCCTTGCCTGTAAGAGGGGGACAGTAGCTCCCACCTCCTAGAACTACTATGAGGATGAGGGCAGCTCCCAAGAGTAAAGCGCTTAGCACCATGCTGGCGGTGCTGCTAAGAGCTCCCACAGTGGTAACTTAGAAGTGAAGCCAGCTGGGCTTCATTTGGGAGGCAACATTTTAGGAGGCCGAGGCAGGAGGATTGCTTGAGTCCAGGAGTTAGAGTTAGCCTGGCCAACATGGTGAAACCTGTCTTTACAAAAAAAGAAAATGGAAAAAAAATTAGCCTGGCTACCTAGCCAGAAGTGGAGGTGGGAGGATCACCCGAGCCCAGGAGGCAGAGGTTGCATTTAGCCGTGATGAGGCCACTGCACTCTAGCCTGGGCTACAGAGTGAGACCCTGTCTCAATACATTAAATAAATAAAGCCAAGGACGGCTCCAGACTTAATCCAGTGCTCCAGGCACAGCCCCATGCTGGCACCGTGCCTCATCTTTGACCAAAGTCTTAGTCCTGGGATGCTGCTGTTATTGAGCTCAGCCCTGAGCTGGGAGGTAGGCACAGAGCTCCCAGGTGGGTGAGTGGAGAGGGTGGGGTGGGTCAGGCTTCTGCGCTGAAGCTGCCAGGCCCCTTCCTGCTTGGCTGGCAGTCTGTCTTCACAAGGCCATTTCAGTCTCACAGCGCCTGTCCAGCCCATCGTCTGCCCTCTTCTCCTAGACCTAGTTCAGCTCCAGAGGGTTCTGCGGGCTCCAGGGATCTCAGAGGCTGGGTGGACCAATGCCTCCCCATTTTATAGATGGGGAACTTGGAGCCCGGAAAGGGGCTGGTGCATGGTCACACAGCAAGTCTGTGACTGAATGGCCCCATCCCTACCTGCTCCTTAGGGACTGCCTCTTGGCACAGCTTGGCACAAATGTCCCAGAGAACATCCAGAGATTTCGGTTTTTTTAGACGGGTTTTCTGGCTCTGTAGCCCAGGCTGGAGTGCAATGTCATCATCATAGCTCACTGTGGCCTCCACCGCCTGGGCTCAAAGGATCCTTCTGCCTCAGCCTCCTGAATAACTGGGACTGTTGACATGTACCACCATGCCTAATTTCTTACTTTTATCTTTTTGGTAGAGATGGGGTCTTGCTATGTTGATCAGGCTGGTCTTGAACTCTTGGCTTCAAGTGATTCTCCCACCTTGCCCTCCCAAAGTGCTGGGATTACAGGCATGACCACTGTGCCCAGCCTCTTTTTTTTTTTTTTTTTTTTTTAGCTGCAGAGCTCCCATATATTAATTATGACCAAACCGCTCTACCACAGATGAGGATGAGACTCAGAGTCACATCCCATCAGGAGCAGTTAAAGAAGGGGATGTTTAGTTCTGGGGCCTGACCACAGTCTTCGAGTCTCAGAGCTGGCTCTAGTGAGGGGCTGGCAGGGCTCGGGGGCCAGTGTAATGTTGTAATGTATCTCCTTGAGGGCAGAGCTAGGACTCAGGCAAATTCCAGAGAGCAGGTCGGGAGCTGGCATGTGCATGTAGGGCTAGGTTGCCACTTTGCCACTGAGAGCATCTGAATGCGTCCCAATGTCCCAATCCCCAATTTTTTGTTTGTTTGTTTTTTTGAGAGGAAGTCTTGTTCTGTCACCAGGCTGGAGTGTAGTGGCTGGATCTCGGCTCACTGCAACCTCCACCTCCGGGTTTTAAGCGATTCCCCTCCTTCAGCCTCCCGAGTAGCTAGGACTACAGGAGTACACCACCATACCTGGCTAATTTTTTATATTTTAGTAGAGACGGGATTTCACCATATTGGCCAGGATGGTCCCGATCTCCTGACCTCGTGATCCACCCACCACTGCCTCCCAAAGTGCTGGGATTACAGACATGAGCCACCATGCCTGGCTCAATGTCCTTTAGACCCCAGCCTCCCCTACTCACTCCATCCTGCCTAGTGCCCCCTGCTCTGAGAGCTTCCTTTTCACAGTACCCTCAGGGTATGCCACACTTTCCCATCCACTTCCTCATGGACTCACTGAGAGGCAAGGTTCTTCTTCCCATTTTACAGATGGGGACCTGGAGACTCAGAGCTTTGAGTTACCTGCCCAGACTCACCTGGCTCTGGGCAGTTCAGTTCAGCTGCTCTGTGAGCACCTGCTGTGTACCAGGCCCTATCCACCAAGCTGAGTACTGAGCAGGGCCTACTTCCTACCTAATAAACTCTGGCTTCTTGTGGCCTGGAGAGTGACTGTGGAGCTCACCATGGTATCCTAGGGCCTGGCACAGAGCAGGCACTCTGTGAACATGTGTAATGAACACATGAATCAGTAAATGCGGAGCTTAGTGGAAAGATCTCAAAGTCTAAAGCTAGAGACCTGAGCTAGCACCCCCCACTCATGACCTTGAACACTAACAAGCACTACTGCTAAGAGCCACCTGTATGCTTGTCCAGCCTTAGAGTCCTTGGGACTCACAAAGGCATCCCCAGCCCCTTTTATGGATGAAGAGACTGAGGCTCAGAGAAGGCAAGTTACTGGCTCCAAGTCATCCAGAAATACATTTAGAACCCAATGTACATCACTAGGGCCAGGGCCTCGGCTTCCCCTTCTGCCCAGCAGGATACGCCCCACGAACAGCCCTGACATAGCTGTCCCCCACAGGAGGCCTGAGTGTGGACGACTTCCGGAAGGTGCTGATGAAGACGGGCCTGGTGCTCGTGGTGCTGGGCCACGTAAGCTTCATCACAGCCGCCCTGCTCCATGGCACAGTGCTGCGCTACGTGGGCACCCCCCGCGATGCTGTGGCTCTGCAGTACTGCGTGGTCAACATCCTGTCTGTCACTTCCGCCATCGTGGTATAGCCAGGCTGGGAGGGTGACTGGTGGGGGAGGATAGAGGGGGCTTGAAGGGTTTTCAACAAATCTCCACCCAGAATCCGTGGTAGGCAGCAGCCTCAAGGACTAACCCTTGGTCCGCCACCAACTGCCCAAGTCACTCTTCTTCATCTATAAAATGGGGATGGTAACAGTGTTTACCTCCAAGGGTCTTGATGAGTACAGATGAGCTCATCCACACAAAGTGCTTAGCACAGTGTCTGGTATGTTGTTCGTGCTGCTATTGTGAGCTAAGATTATCATTATGCTCGAGAAATATCCACAGCACCACTGGACAGAAGAAAGGAGCAGCAGGTAAGCCTGGGAGGGTCCTGGTGGATTTCACAGAGTGCAGGCCTCTGAGCTGGGTCTTGATGGATGAGCAGCAGGAGTTCACAAATGGGCTGCCGTGACCATAACCCAGGCGTATGGCATATTGAGGCTAGCAGTAGGCAGGAAAGGAAGCTGGGATGGCATTCAAGTACAGAGAATGTGAGATGGAAAGGTTGGAGGTGGAAATGGCTAAGATCTGTTCTGGAGAAGCTGAGAAAACCAATTTGGCAGGAGCTTAGCATTAGGCCTGATCTGTAGCAACCGCTACAGATCAATGAATGGTAGCCACGGTTGGGACCGGATATCAGTACCTGTTTGACTAGCACATGAATGGACAGGTCCGGTAATCTCAAGTTTCTAAAGCTCTTTCCTGCTGGTCAGCAGAAGTGGCCATAGCCTCTGGGGAAGATCCTTCTGCACATCAATGTCTGAATTCCATCCCTGCCTCTGCCTGGCTGAGGGACTTATTTCTCTCTCCAGGCCTGTTCCTCCCTTGCAAAATAAAGCTCGGACAGCCTGCTGGCCTCAAGGCTTGGGAGAATGGGGGTCATAGGTCCCAGCAAGTAGGAAAGGCTTTGTCAGTGGGTGGGGCAGAGCTGGGCAGATGTGTGCAGGGTCCTTGGAGTTCTTCTGATTGGTACTGTCGTGAGGAAGGCAGGGAAAGCAGTGAGCTCAGGGTGAGGAGGTCCACCAGGGATGGGCTTTGGGCTGGACCACTTTAGCCTTCCCTTCATTCAGTTAATCCTCACTGCTCCCAGCAACTGGGGGCCATTATTATCCCTGTTTCACGAAAGAGAAACCAAGACTCAGGGATTCACCCAACCTCCTGTGGATACGCAGAAGCCAAACCAGATTGGAACCTATTTGTGTCTGACACCAAAGCCAGTGTCCTTTCTGTGAGCTCATCCTGCAGAGCAGGGCTAAGCCCAGAGAGATGGAGGTACTTTGTTGTAGCTTTCATGTGAATTAAAGATCCATGCTGGGCCTGGATCCCAGGACCCCCGACATACCACCTGCCTCAGATGGGTCCAGTGAGGAACATCAGGAGAAGACTGGCCCAAAGATCCAGAGGGTGGTTGTTGGGCTGAATTGTGGGGTGGTCCCACCCCTTGGGATCAAGGTTGGTTAGGGAAGCGTGTGCAAACCTGAGCAGGGCTTGCAGGATCCGCACAGGCAGAGGAGCAGGAAGGGTGTTCCTGGTGAGAGGGTGCGTGGGCAGCATCCTGAGCAGGCTGTGTATGGGCGTCCACATCCAGGGCAGTGAGGGAGGAGAGTAGCCCAGGTGGGGCTGAGAAGCCAACAGGGCTGGGGAGGGGGTTTGGTCACTGAAAGCCTGGAATCATTGAAAATAGACCCAGGGATGTAAAGTTCTCCTCCGTAACATGTCTTGGTTTGTTTCAGTGTAACAATTTTGATTTTAGTTCCTTGCTAACTGAGTTAGTTTCTTCCAAAATCTTTTCCATTCCAGAAAGGTGTGTCCCATGCATACCCTGGCATGTCCCGGTGGCCCCAGGATACACAACCCTGACTGAGACACAGCCGTAGGCAGTGGGTAATCACAGAAGGTTGTAGACAGGGAGTGACTGTTTTAGAAACATCACTCCAGGCTGGACTACGAGGAGGCAGGTGGAGATGTGAGGCCCAGGCTAAGCAGGGGGCGAGGGGTGAGGGAGTCTGGATGGCCATGGTTGGCACGCGTGAGGCCATTATCCCAGAGTGGCCCTGATCCCCTGTCCCCGCCCCTCCAGACAAGGAGTAAGGGCTGACTTGAGTCTTCCCTTACAGGTCATCACCTCAGGCATCGCAGGCATCGTGTTGTCACGCTACCTCCCCAGCACCCCCCTGGTATGTGGTACCTCCTGGGATGGGACTATGGGGGAAGGGTAGGGGCGGCAGCCACCCCCAAGGGCCTGGCCTCCTTGGAGGGGGTGAGGCTGACCCTCAGGGAGGTCAGAGGTGCCCATGGGGGCCAAGCACGGTGTGCATTGACCAATGGCCTCCCCCACCCAGCGCTGGACAGTGTTTAGCTCGAGTGTGGCCTGTGCTCTTCTCTCTCTGACCTGTGCCCTTGGCCTCTTGGCCTCCATCGCTGTGACCTTCGCCACCCAGGGCAAGGCGTTGTTGGCTGCCTGCACTTTTGGGAGCTCTGAACTATTGGCCCTCGCACCTGACTGTCCCTTCGACCCCACACGCATTTATGTGAGTTCCGAGGCCTGGGGTAGGAGCACAAAGCCCTCAAAGGGGTGGGAAGGGCTTTTGGAGTCCACCCTCCACCTCCGACCCCAGCCAGCCATCTCTACCCTATGCCCTGCAGAGCTCCAGCCTGTGCCTCTGGGGCATCGCCCTAGTGCTCTGTGTGGCAGAGAACGTGTTTGCTGTGCGCTGTGCCCAGCTCACCCACCAGCTGCTGGAGCTGAGGCCCTGGTGGGGGAAAAGCAGCCACCACATGGTAAGTCCCCTCCACAGCCCTGACTCCCCAGATTTCCTGGGAGCCTCTGCCAGGGAGCCCAAGCTGCTCTGCTCCACCCTGTGTATGGGCCCCCACCTTGAGAAATGGGGCAAAAGTTTTCTCTCCAGGAGTGAAGGGAGAGGCTTGGCGGCTGGGAGAGATGAGATCTCCCAGCAGATTCACACAGCTGACACCTAGCTCTCCTAGGGCCCTGGAGGAGTCTTGAGGGAGTGGCAGGGGTGTCTGGGCTCATACTGGGGGCATTCCAAGGGACTGGCCTGGCTCTTGCAGTGGGGTGGGTAGTGATGCTCCTTTGCCCCCAGAGATCCTTCCAGCCCTCCCCTCTTCCCATTTCCTGGATGTCCTGGAGGGGGAGACCCAGGCTGAGAACCAGTGGGTATGGCAGCCTCCTGTGTCTCTGCAGATGCCAGAGAGCCCAGAGCCGGTGGAGAGCCGTGACCTGCTGAGCTGCACCAGCTCGGAGCCTCTGACCCTCTGAGAGATGATGTCTTGCCCAGGGCCCACGGCCACTAGGACCCTGCAAACAACTCTGCTCTGTGACCAGGCCAGGATTCCTGGAGCTGGCCTGAGAGGGCTCAATAGACTAAAGGGGACCCAAGTGGGGTTTTCAGCCCCCTCCCCCACCACCCAGGCCACTGCACTGAAATGAGACTTTATTCTGAAATTATTAAAAAGAACAGAGATGCTCCATTTGGTTGCATGCAGGGGGACCGTTGGGGGGACAGAGGGGAGGATGGGCTCAGCGTTGGGGGGGGGGAGGCGTGTCTCTTTTCCACGCAGGACGCTGTGCACAGGGCTCTGGGTGCATCTGCCCGTGTGTGTGTGTGTGTGTGTGTGTGTGTGTGTGTGTGAGGCAAAACATGGAGAGCTACGTGGGTCTGTGCGTATCCAAGTGTTAAAAAGCAGGCAAGGCTTCCTGGGACCCACAGTTGGCGGGCTGGTATCCTGGGAGGTTTCACTTAGTAGCTTGGCCTAGGTACCAGCAAGGACTAGGGTGGGAAGGGGTGAGGCCCTCCTTCAGGGAAGGCTGGCTCAAGAAAGCCTCTTCCTTCAACTCTACACCCCTGGAATCCTTCTCTCCCTTACAGATAAAAAGACAGGCTCCTCCCATGGGCATGACTCCTCCCACCCCCCAAGATGAGACCTGAAAGACGGGGAGACTGCCCCGTTGGGGGAGGGGGTCTTGCCTGGGACTGGGTGGGTGGGATGTCTCAGAGGGCCTGACTGAGGGGCAGACCAAGCCAGCCTGTGCCTCTGTCGTTGCCTCTGGGATTAGGGGGTGCTAACCGCTTGCTTGCTTGGACCTGGGGGTACCACAGGGCTCCCTTTTTCAGAGGCCCCCCACAGGGCAGACCTGGGGAGGAGGGTTCCCCAGTCTGCCCCCCAGTCAGATAGACACAAAGAAGAGGAAGCTGAGAGCCGGGAGGGGGCCGGTGAAGGCAGGGAGGAGGGGGGACCTGGCTCCTCTCATTCAGAACTGGGAGGCGCTGCTGGGGTCGCACTGCAGCAGGCGCACGATGGACGGGTCGCTTTTGGCCCCGCGGATGAACTCCTCCAGGGACAGCTTGCCTGCAGGGCGAGTGGAGCGGTGATGGGGAGGAGGCCGCAGCCAAACGAGGGGAGGCGGAGCAGGAGCGGGAGCGGGAGGGAGCGTGGGAGGGAGAGGCGCCCGCCCTGTCCACCCCGTCCTGCCCCTGCCCCTCACCGTCGTTGTTTGTGTCCATTTGGCGGAAGATTTTCTCAGTCCTCTTTTCTGGGGTCGACTCGTCCTCCGGCATCTTCATCACAGAGGAAACCATCTTGTAAATGGCCTGGGGGCGGGAGGGGAGGCGGGGAGTGAGAGGAGCCTGCCCGAGCCCCCACTCCCGAGATTCAGAGGCGCCCCCGGGCTCGCTGACGTTTGCTGCCCCCGCCGGAGCAAGGTGGAGTGGGGTTCACGGAGGCATGGGGAGCGGGGGCCTTCGGAAGGCATGTCCGGGAAGGCTCCCCAGAAGAGGGGGCTATCGGGCGGGCCCTGCCCTGCTCGCTTGCAGGGCTGGGTGGGAAAGGAGCAAAGGCACTGCAGGTGAAGGCGCCGGGAATTTGGGGGCGCCGGGGGGGAGGGGTCAGGAGAGATGTTGGAGGACGCCGGGGCCTGACAGTGGAGGGCCTGGAGCGGCAGGCTCAGGAGCACGTGCCCGGGGTGCGGGTCGGGGGTGAGTATGGAGCTGACACGGGGGCCCAGGGCAGCCCGCGCTCAGTGGTCTCAAGGAGGCGCCGGTCCGAGGGGCGACACTGCGCTGCGGGGACATCTGCAGCCGGCAGGGGACACGGCGCGGGCTGGAGGGCCAGAGGCAGCTGGGCTCAGAGGGGTGGGGAGCTGTATGCAAATGAATGCAAATAAGCATCTGCATCGGGCAGGAACCGCCAGGCTCAGCTGGGCAGAAGGCGGCAGCCGCCACGTGCAGGAGCTCCCGAGGTGACGCGAAAGAGTTCTTGCACTAAATGTACCACTAAGAGTTCTTGCACTAAGAGCACCACTCAGGGCTTGGCCTGTGGTATGCCCTGGGTCCCAGTGCCCCGGGAGCTCAAGGACTGTCTCCTCAATCTTCCATCTTTACCTCACCGACACTTCCTCCAAGAAGCCTCCCTTCTTCTCCCATTCCATAAACTTCTGCCTCAGATCCAGCTTCAGCCTCCACACTGGTCTCTTCCAGCCTCTGTCCCTGAGGTCTGTCCCCCACACTGCCTCCGAAAGCTCTTTCCAAACACAGATCTCCACTGTTACCTCCCCAGCCCGCATACCACCCCGTCACTCCTGTCACACACAGGCCTCCCCCCGAGGCCCGCCTTGCATCCAGCTCCTTCTGCTGCCTCCCACTCCTCCTTGGAGCTCAGTTTACAAGCTGTTTTCTTAGTGAGATCTTCTCCAACCCAGGCTGGGTCAGGGTGCATATGGGCCCAGAGCCTGTCGGACTTTTCCTTTGCAGACATCTCTCCAGAAGTAATTGTCTTTGCAGGGTTGTTCCTAGTCCCCACCATACAGATGAAGTACAGACGAAGACCATGGGCATCTAGCTGATGCTAGAACCTGGCACCAGGCAGGGACTTCCCTATTTAAAAGCCATTGGCACCTCCCCCCTCCCTCTGTACCAAGTTCAAAGCATTCTGCCCTTGGCATTCAAGATGCTTCACCATCTGTCCACTGCCGACCCTCCACCATCAGGTCTCCCCTGGCTGGGTGATTCTGCCAACAGCCAACACCCCTGGCTCTTCAGATTCTCCAGCATTTACAGTCTCTGCCTGGAATAACAGTACTAACTACCATTTACCAGGGGCCCACTCTGTACCAGGTACTTTATATGCACTATTTCTAAACCTCACACCAGTCCTGAAAAACAGGTATCATGAACCCCATTTTCCAGATAAGAAACTGAGGCTCAGAAAGGAAATTGATGGCAGAGACTCGATTTGTACCTGCTCCCTCTTAGCTACTGGAGGGATAGTGACGATCAGCAGGGCCTTTAGCATTAGGCACGGTCTGTAATAACTGCTCAATGAGTGGTAGCCACAGTTGTGATGGGATGTTAGTACCTGATTGACTAGTATATGAATGGAGGGGTCTGGTAGTCTCAAGTTTCTAAAGTTGGATGGACCTGGAGTGCCATCCTGGTTCCACTACTCACTAACTGTGTAGCCTTGGACAAGTACTTAACCTCTGTGAGCCTCAGTTTCTTCATCTGTAAACTCATCTGTAAGAGTACTCATCTGGGAGATCAGTATGAGTGAGTGGTCAGTAAACAGCAGCTCATATTAGTCATTATTCATCCTCCAAGTCCTCAAGTCTTCCCTGCCACTCAGTCCCCTGGCTCCCAGATGACACCGTCACACCCCTGTCACTGAGCTCGTCAGTGCGACCTCCACATCTGTCTCCCCCACCAGAGTGGGAGCCCCAAGAGGCACAGTCTCTTCCTTTCCAGTGTGTCCACTACCTGGCACGGGGCTGGGTCTTGAGAAGAACTGGGCCAGTGACCACTACCCTATGACAGCCTTCTCCTGGGCCTCCTAATTAATTATCTGGAATTGCTGCTCACTCATGGTTTCATGGGAGCTGACTTGTCCTTAATCAGGCACTGGGGCTTGCAGAGCTCTGTGCGCACCAGCTGTCTGGAGCCACAGGGCCACCATAAAGGAAGCCAGGGCCTGGACAGCAGAGGCCACCAGAAACGGGTCCTGAGGATGCCCAGGCAATGGGTCTGGCTTGACTGATGCTCTGGGCATGGTGGCTCCAGCAGGACTGAGGTTTGCCAGTACACACCAATGCACCACACTGAGTGGTAGAATGTGAACATCCCTCCAGACTGATCAGTATCCAGCTGCTGCCATGCCCGGGTGATCCTCCCCGACCCTGGCCACCCAGCCCTACCATCGGGACCCCCAAATCCCCCTACCGTCAAGCAACTAAAGAGTTAAATGCCTGGCCCACAGGAGTCGGTGACAAACGTTAAGGCTTTTCCCTGCCTCTACCCATAGCTATGGGGAGGGCATCACATCTCCACCTGGAAAGCAGGCCCAGACCTTAGCAAGAGGAGAAGCCAAAGTCAAGTATCCAACAGTGGCCGGGGCAGCAGTCTGTGGAGCTAGGAGACCAGAAGGGAAAGGATTCAGAGATGTAGAAGGAAAGGGGGCAAGAGCTTGTGCAGAGCTGCATGACAGGATTAGTCAGGGCACATTTCAGAGATGCTGGAAAGGCCATTCTGGCTAGAGCAGAGGATGTGCAGAGGAGAAAATTAATAACAGACAATTGCTAATGTCTACCAAGTACCAATTACATGCCAGGCCCTCCACTCGAGTCCTTATCTCACTCTATCCCTGCAATAACCTTGTGAGGAAGGGGCTTAACACCCCTTAACAGGTAAAGAAACCTGTAAAGGCTTAGGAAAAAGGCAGGCAAGGAAGTGGACAGGCAAAACAGAACCGGAGCCCTGGCCATCTTCAAGCCTGGGCTGAGGGGATGGATGTTCTGGGAGGTTTCTGAAATAAAGCTAACTGGTAGCACATTTAAACTCATACTCACAAAGGGCATTATATCAGGTCCTTAAATCTTGTGAAGTGAGTATCACCATGTCCATTATACAGATGAGCAACCTAAGAGTGAAGGCCACTTCCAGAACTGGAAGCCAGACCTCCTAACCAGGAGTCCAGAGCCCTCTCAGTAGATAACTCTGAGTAGTGGCCAGCCAGAGCTTTTCTCACTTATGTGCTGTGTGACTTTGAGACTCTCTGAGTCTCATGGGGTTGTTGTAAGCATGCACTGAGCTCATAAGCACCTCAATGCTAGGCTCTTAGTGGGTCCTCAATTAGTTAGAAGGTAGCTGGGTATCCAGATGGAATGTGGAGAGTGGGCCAGATGGTCCACTCACACAGGCTGTGTGGCCTCAAGCAAATCCCTTTATCTCTCTGAGCATCCGTTTCCTCTGGTGTAAATAAGGATCAATAAGACATAACTAGACTGTGCTGTGCAGAAATGTCAATTCATAAAAAATAAAGAAGGGATGAGGAGCTATCCTGGATTAAAGGGGCTAAAGAGACACGAGAACTAGATGTAATGCATGACCCCAGGTCAAGGCTGAAAGTGCTACAAAGAACATTATGGAGACAGTTGGCAAAATTGGAATATGGTTGGTAGATTAGATAATAGCATTGTTT